CCCAATTCCTACCCTTGACTTCAGGAAATCATTGATTTGATTTTTGTTATTATCAATTGGCTTTGTGTTTTCTAGAGCTTCTTATATTTATTCTTTATTTGGGTGGCTTTTTCTCCGCAAAATATCTCTAAGGTTGATCCATTCATGCTGTTATGTGTATAATTAGTTCACTCCTTTTTATTAATGTTTTTGCTTTGGTTGCCTGTTTTGTTTTGTTTTGTTTTTTCATTTTTTGTTTTTTTTTGGAGTTAATATACAGTGTTATGTTAGTTTCAGGTGTACAATATGATTCAACAATTCTGTACATGACTCAGTGCTCGTCATGATAAATGTACCCTTAATCCCCTTTACGTAATTCACACTCTGTACCCTCCCCCGCAACCATCAGTTTGTCTTCTATAGTTAAGAGTTTGTTTCTTGGTTTATCTCTTTTTTTCTTGTTTGTTTTGTTTCTTAAATTCCACGTATGAGTGAAGTCATATGGTATTTGTCTTTCTCTGGCTTATTTCGCTTAGCAATATACTCTCTAGCTCCATTCATGTTGTTGCAAATGGCAAGATTTCATTCTTTTTTAAGGCTGAACAATGTTCTATTGTGTATGTACACACACACACACGTATATACCACGCTTCTCCATCAATTCATCTATCAGTAGACACTTGGGCTGCTTCCATAATTTGACTATTGTAAGTAATGCTGCATTAAATGTAGGGGTGCATGTATCTTTTTGAATTAGTGTTTTCTGTATTCTTTTGGAATAGTGTGATTACTGGATCATAATGTAGTTCTATTTTTAACTTTTTGAGGAACCTCCATACTGTTTTCCAGTGGCTGCACCAGTTTGCATTCCCACCAACAGTGCCCAAGGGTTCTACTTTTTTAAATTTAAAAAATTTTAAAAGATTTATTTATTCACGAGAGAGAGAGAGAGAGAGACAGACAGACAGAGTGAGCAGGGAGGGGGGCAGAGGGAGATGGAGAGAGAAACTTTAACAGACTCTTGCTGAGCTCAGAGCCTGACCTGGGGCACAATCTCATTATCATGAGATGATGACCTGAGCTGAAACCAAAAGCCCGATGCCCTACCAACTGTACCGTCCAGGTGTCCCATGAGGGTTCCTCTTTCTCCATGTCCTCACTAGCACCTGTTGTTTCTTACATTTTTGATTTTAGTCATTCTGACAGGTGTGAGGTTATACCTCATTGTGGTTTTGATATGCATTTCCCTGGTGATTAGTGATGTTGAGCATATTTTCATGTGTCTGTTGGCCATCTATATCTCTTTGGAGAAATGTTTGTACCTGTCTTCTGCCCATGTTTAAACTGTATTATTTGGTTTTTTGGTATTGAGTTGTATATGTTCTTTATATATTTTGGATACTAACCCTTTATTGGATATGTCATCAGCAAATATCTTCTCTCATTCCACAGGTTGGCCTTTTCGTTTTGTTGATTGTTTCCTTTGCTGCGCAGAAGTGGTTTTTTTTTCCTCTTTTTTTTAATGCAGTGCCAATAGCTTATTTTTGCTTTTGTTTCCCTTGCCTCAGGAGAGACATAACTAGAAAAATGTTGCTATGGCTGATGTCAGAGAAATTATGGCCATTCACTTCTTTTTATTGCTGAATATTACTCCATTGTATGACTAGACCACAATTTATTTATCTACTCACCTGTTGATGCCATTGGATTGTTTTCATTGGGACTATGATAAATAAAACAGTTTTTTTTTTTTAAGTGGACATGTAGATTTTAATTTATTTTAGGTAAATACCTATGATTGAAATCGCTGGGTTATGACCAATTATTACTGGTATTTGCTTACTTGTTCTATTAAATACTGAGACAGGAGTATCTAAATCTCCACCTATAATTACAGATTTTCCCTTTCTCCTTTCAGTTATATCATTTTTTGCTTCATATATTTTGAAACTTTGTGTCTAGAGATGTATACAGTTAGTAATATTTCACTTTTTTAATGAGTTGACTATTTTATCATGAAATGTCCTCCTTTGTCCCTCCCTGTACTCAATTCTACTTTGTCTGCCAATGTAGCCACTCCAGCTTTTTCTTTTTTAAATCACAATGTACATGATATATCTCTTTCTATCCCTTTGCTTTTTAAAACTTATTTGTGTATTTTTATTTAATATAGGTGTCTTTTAAGTAGTATATAGTTTAGGGGCATCTGAGTGGCTCAGTCGGTTAAGTGTCTGCCTTTGTGTCAGGTCATGATCCTAGGGTCCTGGGATAGACCTCATGTGTCGGGATCCCTGCTCAGTGGGGAGCCTGCTTCTCCCTCTCCCTCTGCTTGCTGTTCCTCCTGCTTGTGCTCTCACTCTGTGTGTCAAATAAATAAAAATCTTTTAAAAAAATAGTATATAGTGTAGTCTTGCTTAAAAAAAAAAAAAAAAAATCCAGCCTGAGAATCTCTGACTTCTAACTGGAGTGGTTAGACCACTTACTTAAAAAAAGAAGTCATAATTATCAGAAGAATAAACTGTATATATTTCAAGTGTACAATCTGATGAGTTTTGACATGTGTATACCTGTGAAGCCATCACCACAATCAAGAAAATGGGCATTTTCATCATTCCCAAGTGGTTCCCTGAGCTCCTTTGTAATCCCTCCCTCTCCCTCCTCTTTGCAGGACACCACCGATCTGCTATCTGTCACCATAGTTTGCACGTTCAGAATTTAGTGTAAGTGGAAACAGACCATGTGTATTCTGTTCTGTCGGTTTCTTTTACATATTGTAATGATTTTGAAATTCAATCGTGTTGGTTTTGTTTCAATTTTTTTTATTCCTTTTTGTTTCTGTGTAGTATTCCATTGTGTGGATGTACCACAGTGGTTTTATTCATTCACACAGATGAGCATTTGGGTTGTTTCTAGCTTTTGGCTATTATAAATAGTTGCTATGAACATTCTTCTTCAAGTCTTTGTATGTACATACGTTTTTATTTCTTGAGGAAATACTTAGGAGAGGAATTCCTAGGCTGTGGTAGGCATAGATTTAATATTTTAAGGAACTGCCCATCTATTTTCCAAACATTGTACCATAGCTCCCTTGTCCATCAAGTTCGTATGGCTTGACTTTTTGTTTCAGTGACTTTATTTGGTGTGTTTATATTTCATTTACCTATTGCCCATTCATATGTCTTCTTTAGTGAGGTTTCTCTTCATATTTTTTGCCCATTTAAAAAACTGTCTTTGTATCCTCATTCTGATAAATGTTCTTGGCTGATGTATGCGGTGCAAATATTTTCTTCCGGTTTGTGGGTTGCCTTTTTCTATTTTTAACAGTCTCCTTAGAAGAGCCAGAAGTTTAATTTTTATGAAGTCCAATTTATCAATTTTTTTCTTCTATGGTTTCTTTCTTATTTATTTTTCTATCTAAGGAACATTTGTCTACCTGAGATCTCAAAAGATTTTCTCTAATGATTTCTTCTAGAATCATTAAAGTCTATGAACCATTTCATTTTTGTGTAGGGTGTAAGGTACATACTCATTTTTTCCCAATGGAGAGATCTAGTTGTTCAACACCATTTTTTCAAAAGACTTCTATTCCCCAATGAAGTGCCTTGACACTTTTCTTGAAAATAAATTCACACTTACAGATGTGGGCAAAATAATACAAGGTATATTCAAATACCTTAGCTGTAAATCTCAGTAAGATACCCGTGTGAAAGAGTAGGCTAAGCAGTGAAAGTAATTTATGTAGTTATGAATCTCTAATTTGCTTCAAATAGTTTCAACTGTTTCTTTTTTATGTCTATTCCAAAATGAATTAAGTCATTCTCTTTGACTCTAAAACCTCATGAATGGCAACATCCATATTATGATAGTAGAAATCATTCTACCCATCGCTTAAATGTATACGATTTCTGGTGAAGCTAAGCCTTGTTCCAGATATTTGGGTTTCGCAATGTTCACAGAACCCGGAATTTTCTTTAAATGTAAATACACTCTGAAGTGATACAAAATGAAAAAATAAACAACTCTCAATTTTTCTAAAAAATCCAGACCTATACTATCGATACAATAACCATAATTTAACTTCCTCTATTAGGAGTGCCCAAATATGCCAACAGGCAATTCTGAGATAAAGATAAGAGAAAGGAAAAGAAAACCCAGTGCCTATGGAAATTGAGATCGAAAAATTTAATGATTTAAAAAATAGCCTTTACATACAAGATGGGGAAGAGAGTAATACAGATTGAAATTTTGGTTTTAAAAACGTGAAAGGTCACCACTTAGCTTAAAAACAAGTCTGTCATCTCCTAAGAAACACACTATACAATGAACTCTATAGGGGCACCTTTCAACTCCTACTGAGTTGGTTTTTAGCAGTCTCCTTTCTCCCAACATGCTTACTCGTCATGAAACGATACAACTTTTAATCATCTCTTGACAGAACAGAGCTTGGAGAACTACGATACGGTTTTTTTGAAAAGCACCTTCTGTGATGTTTTGCTGAATTTTTCCCTCATACTTAGATCACACATTCTTCTTAAATCCTTTCCTTTTCCAATGATTTGGTTGTTTAAAACAAGTAAGCTTTATTAAGTCAAGGCATACATGGCAAATAAAAATGTTTTCAAATGGTCTAGTTTAGAACCATTCAATAAGAACTGGACTGAAGGCCTATGGATAACATGCTCACTGACTTGTTAATATGCGAATACATTTACCTACTAGGTAGAAGTATCTCATTTGCCCCAAGGCCAGTCAGATGGCTTGTGGGTGTCTTTACTGTGCCAACACCAGCAGGTGTAATGGGACAGACTATGGAATGGGTGCTGTGATGAGCTGGAAGATGGCGGTGGGCTGTATACACAGGATCAAGGCCAGATAGAATTGTAGAGACTGGATGGGCTGAGTGTCGGGTCAGCAGCTGCATGTTTTAAGGAGGTTGCAAGACCAAATAGTGAATTCCCTTAGAATAGGATATAGCCTAGTGGCTCTAACCTTTAAGTGACTCAGGAACAGGTCAGTTTTTCTCAGGTAATGGAGGCAGCAGCACCTAAGAGTTGAGAGTCAGAAGGGCCTCTACTTAAAACTGGCAGGTGGAACCATCCCTTATTTTGTGGACAGTTGTAGTCTGATGTGTCTTTATGAATTCCTGCTGCAAATAATTTGGTTTTTGCAAATCTAAAAACACCCTTTGGAAAACTTCATGGCCAAGTCACTCATAAATGTGGATGATCAAAAAGTCCCAGGGAAAACATTTGCTTTCTTTTAACGTGATGTCCTGTGTTCAAACAACTCAGCCCTAACCAAGGATTTGGCCTCCACATACTTCTAAAATACGGGTGCTTGGGTTAACGTATACTTCCTGAATCTTCTTTCATTTTTAAAAGGGCATTTTCAATCAGAAGTGAGGCATTTTGCCACAATGGGCCAAAGATGGTCAATTTTGAAAGGGGTGTCCAAACAAGAACAAGTCATGCCATGCCTCGTTATTGGAAGGTAAACACTTTCACGTATACTGTGCTTCCCACACTTGGACATGACAGGCTCAGAATAATCGCTAGTATATGTAGAGCAGTATTACAACTAGCTGGTATGTTTTCTAAAATTAAAAAAAAAATAAGGAAAAAAATGCAGCATTAGGACGTGCTTACTAAGGTGCTTCTTCATTCATGTTGTCTAATGGAATGTATTGGACAAACATCTACAAACGAACATGAATACACAGGCATACACACGCACGTGAACCAGTTTCTGTACAGTTTAGGCCTTAGATGCTTCTGTGTTTACGTAAGAACCACACAGGAAAAAAAAAATCCCCCTCTAGCTCCCTGAATTTCTGAATGTTGTCTAACCCATAAAATGTTAAAATATTTCATTTTCATATAAAATTATCTACAAAAATAGATAACATTTACAAAAAACCAGATAGCATTTCCAGTTTTCGTTAGAAGTGCACTCAGTCCCCCTTTCCGTCCTTCTCCTCTCAGAAGGTGGCCATCTCCAGCAAAGAACGCTTGAAGAGCTGGGCGTTCCGGGACAGGTCTGTCACTTGGTGCACCATCTCCTGCAGGGCCGTGGTGCTCGGGTAATGGAGGGCCGCCATCTTGGTTGCCATCACAATCGCCTTGAGCTGCTCACAGAGCTGGTTGCTGGAGTTCATCACTTTGTTGCGAATGTCCTGGGCAGCAACCTGCCTTGTCAGCGTGTCCCCAATGAACACCAGTTTGTGTGCGCTCAGGATGACAAACTTGCTGTGGGCCACGAAGATGCGCGGCGGCTGCGCCGAGCTGACGCAGCTGAAGAGGGCGTCGATGGCGTTGAGGAGGGAGATGTAATGGGTCTCGCACTGGTCGTAGTAGAAGCAGAGCAGCTGCCGATCTTGAGCGCCCACGCTGCTGTTTGTGGTCGGGAGGCTCTGAGAAGGCTTCCACTTGGAGATGTCGTTCTCCACGGGCTTGGTGATTTCTTGTTCCAACAACTGGAACTGACTTAGCTGCAAGGGAGAGAAAAGCAGAGTTCGTGAAGGGGAAGGCAGTGTGCCATCTTGGAAGTTAACCTTGGGGTTCAAGGACAGGGATTTCAATCCCTAGTAAGTGGTTAGTGCTCACTAGATGGGAGGCTTCGCTTTCCTAAACTGTAAAATGTGGAGGCTGAAAAAGAGGATCACTAAGGAATCCCCCAGCTCAGGCCACTGCGGTTGGATATTGGTCTCTTCTGCCCTACGGCTGGAAGGCAGCTAGCTGTTATACTCAGCTGTCACCTGCACCTTTATGAAAGATCCAGGAGTTAACATTTACCAAGTGCTTAGAGTGTTTTTTGGTATATCGTCATCTCTATATAAATGTTTATTGAACATTGAGTGGAGGCGAGGGAAAATCCAATGGGGGGATCTCCTTATCAAGTAAATCGTTGACAGTTGGCTCCTCCTCTGGGAAAGCCTTGACTCTGTCCCTTCCAGACTCTTAGATAATTGACCATCCACAACCCCTTTCTGTTTCTCCTACTCTTGCAGGCAAGATTTGTAAATGTTAGGCAGCACTACAGGAGAGACTAACACCTATAAATACATGTGCAGAATCTCTAAGGGAATGTGAATGCTAATTGTTCATCAGAGCACTTAGCCACCCAGAGCTGTTGAAAGAAAAGAAACTCGCACATAGTCAGACTCAAGGAGTGTTAACTTCCTTCTTTCCTTACTGATCCTGGCTGGTGTATTATTTAAACTGTAGTTATAATCTCATGCTATTCCACCAAATCTCAGGAAAGACCCTTCTTTTGCAGGTAAGGACTACCTTTGACCTGAGCTTAGGACTCTGCGATCTTCTGCTCTGAGACAGAGCTCAGTCAGAGTAGGGCCAACCTCATCCAGCTTTGCCCCCAAGAAATGCACCGTGAGCCATCTTTTTTGAGAGAATCTGCTTTCTTCTTAGAAATTACTATGGTTTCAACAAGTTCCCTAAAGCCCTGCAGTCCTCCTTGGCCAAATGCCAAAGTAGACATAAATGGATCCAGGGTGATGTTTGACGGTATCTCACTTATGGTTTCGCAAATATGTTCATAAATATACCGTCTTATTAGAGAGATGGGGGAATTTTCTCATTTTATACAGAAGCAACTGAAGTTCATGGAGGTTAAATGACTTGCCTAAGGTCATAGAGTTGGCTGGTCAGAAAGCAAGGACTAGAATTCTGGTTTCCTGGGGCGCATGGGTGACTCAGTCAATTAAGCAACCAATTCTTGATTTCAGCTCAGGTCATGATCTCAGGTTGTGAGATGGAGTCCCTCATCGGGCTCCACACACAGTATGGAGTCTGCTTGAGATTCTCTCTCTCCTTCTCCCTCTGCTGCCTACCCCCCCAACTCTTGTGCTCTCTCTGTCTCTAAAAAAATAATAAAATATCATTTTTTAAAAAAGGAACTCTGGTTTCCTGAGGCAACGTGACAGTTCATGTCTCCATATGACATTCCATTTCAGCTTAAAAGGCATGTAAGTCCTCAATCCGTTAATCTTTATTTTTATGCCCTGTACCAGCAAGACTCATCATTATCAGCCCCGCCCATGCCCAGCTTTTGAGTGAACCTGCCTTGCCCAAATCCCTTCTTTGAGAGCTTGGATATATCTTTTTTTTTTTTTTTTTTTAAAGATTTTATTTATTTATTTGACAGAGAGAGAGATCACAAGTAGGCAGAGAGGGAGGCAGAGAGAGAGGAGGAAGCAGGCTCCCTGCTGAGCAGAGAGCCTGATGCGGGGCTTGATCCCAGGATCCCGGGATCATGACCGGAGCCAAAGGCAGAGGCTTTAACCCACTGAGCCACCCAGGCACCCCGAGGGCTTGGATATATCTTGAACACATCTGATTCTGCCCTCTTTCTTTTAGACTGGACTAAGAGCAGCCAAGCCATACACTTGTGTTATAGGAGATAGATAGAGAGAGATGGCCCAATCAGACTCTCTCTCTCTCTCTCTCTGTTTTGTTTTGTTTTAGTAATTTGATGAACCACAGTAGGGAGCTATTAGCTAAAGATGCTTAGCTGAAAAGCCATCTGTGGGAAGGAGTCTGAGTGACCATGTATGGGTTCTGTGAAGTTCAGTAGGAGCCAAATGAGTAGACAAGCAGAGGAAACTTTCAGAAAATAGAGGAGAAGGAAGCAAATTTAGAGGAAAGAAAGCCCAAGGAGAGAGAATTTACAGTCTGAGCACTCATCAGACTTTGCGATCAGGCTCATTGGCTGTATCTGCATTTTCTCTTCCTACATTCCCCTACTATCGTTTTGTTATAAAACCTGTTTGCTTGGCCTAGCTTGGCTGGGTCTTGCTTCTGAGACCAACAGCCTTAACCCAAAAAGTCCTTACATGTTAGGTGTATAGAAGTAGCCTGGAAAAATGGCTATTGAGACATAGTCTAGGTACAACAGCTGGATTACTAAAGCTATAAACATTCTCTTTGTTCTTATTCCCTATTATAAGCTTTGGAGCTGCTGCTGCTTACTATTATTATGATTTTTTAAAGATTTATTTATTTGAAAGAGAGAGTGGGGGGGGAGGGGCAGTAGGGAGGTGGAGAGGAGAGAGAGAGAGAGGGAAGCAGACTCCCCATTGAGCATGAAGCCAGATGGAACTCAGGGCTCGATCCCATGACCCTGAGATCATGACCTGAGCTGAAATCAAGAGTCGGACTCTCAACCGACTGGGCCACCCAGGTGCCCCATAGCTTTTTTTTTTTTTTTTTTTAAAGATTTATTTATTTGAGAGAGAGAGAGAGAGTACACACAGGGAGGAGCAGAGGGAAAGGGAGAGAGAATCCCAAGCAGACTCCACATTGAGCACACAGCATCAGAACTGACATGGGGCTCCATCTCAGGACCCTGAGATCATGACCTGAGCCAAAACCAAGAGTCAGATACTTGATCGATTGAGCCACTCAGGCACCCAGAGCCTTGGAGCTTATCTGCACCCAAGAATGCTGGAAGGACCAAAATGATGATCTTCTGAAGGGCTACCTCCCTTAAGAAGTGGGAAATCCTCAATCCCAGGTAGGTCCTGTCCTGCCTGACTTACCTGATAATGCTCCAGCTGCATCTTGTTCTGTTTGATGATATTTTCTTTTTCCAGCAGCTCTTTCTGTTGCCTCTCAAACTCCTCCTTCCCCTGTTATTTGTCAACATAAAGAAAACATTACATCACCCCTGTGGTCCACCTGTGCTAAGACTTTCATTGACAAATGTGTAAACACCCTTTACTTTTCCATTGCCTTGGCCCTACTAGGCCCTGTTAGGCCCTGTGAATGCCAGACAGGGAGGGCGCATTCCCTGCCAGACTTCCAGCATCCCCCTGTAGGGCAGGGCTGAAAACTAAAATCTGTTCTCATGGGGGGTGCCACCATCTCCACTCCACTTTCCCATTTTGGGAGACCCACACTCCCCTGCAAACCTCCTTACACAGTACTATTTCTCAGGGTTCTTCTCTAACAGATTATATGCAAACCCATAAGCCTAATGCAGGTCTAAACGGGGTCCACACTGCATTCCTGGTTTCTTTGGATTGTCTACAACTCTACACCAAATTAGTATTTCCCGGCATGCAGAGCTGAACGACGCACTACGGGAATGGTGAATGCCCCCGTTTACTCTATCCCGCCCCTTTCCTTAGCATTGGGGTTTCGGGGTGGGAGGCAGGGCTCGGCTCTCTCCCTTCCCCAGTCTCCTGTGTGCAAGGGAACTGTAGTTAGTTCAGCAGTCCTCAGGACGACCCATCCCTCTCAGTCAGATGAAAGGAATGGCCAAAGGAGATAGCAAATTCTAAATAATGGATCTTGGTTAAAAGTTTGAATTCCCCAAAGTGAAAAGGATCCCAGGTCAGTGTGGTGGAATTTCCATGTGTAGGAGGGAGACTGTGCCTGCCCTATTTCCCATGTGCTGGTGACATTCTGGGTCAACTGACAAATGCCCGGTGTTCTTCAAGGTCAGCCTGAGGCTTCAGTAATTAATTAAACACACAAACAGACATTGCAGAGCTGAAGGGATTTCTGAGAATTTCTCTAGTCTAGAGTTTTCTTTCTTTTTTCCTTCACAGTGCCTCCCTCCTTTTTCAAATAAAATACCATGCAGAACTCTATCATAAAATGCGAACAGAGGTTGAGCTGGTGTGATTATGTGAGAGAACCACGTTCCTATTTGGGGAGTCCCTTCCCGCTTGCCTGAGGCATATCAACGGATCACCCCAACCCCGTGCTCCATTCACTTTGCTAATGAAGAAATGACAGCCCCGGGAGGTTCGATCAGTGGATCACACCGTTAGTGCCAGGGAACTGAGGACTCGGCACCTTCTCGGGCCAGTGCTGTCACCTTCATATGTGAGCTACGAATTCTGCTCGCGAACCGTGAACCACGTTCTCGCGCGGGGCCGTCCAGCCCACCGGCCGTCCCCGCGGCCCCCCAGGCTCCCTGAATGCGAGCAGAGGCCGTAGGAGCCCGCTTTCCTTACCTGCAGGTGGACGTAGTCGTAATCGTCCATCCAGCTCCTCTCGGAGCTGTCGCTGCTGCTGCAGTCGGGGGGCTGGTCCTTGCCCAGGCTCGGGGGCAATGGCTTGGTGAGGGCTTGGGCCTTGGGGTCCCCGGGAGGCAGCAGGAGCTGCACCTGGGACGCCGCGTGCGGGTACTCCGTGGAGTTCGTGATGTTCTCGGAGCCGCTCTTGGCGTGCGAGCCGCCGGGGCCCGGCCGGAAGAGGGCCTCTGCGTTGGTGTTGATGGTTGTGGTGAGCTGTTTGGCGTCATCCGGGACGGTCTTCGCCACCATCACGAAGCGGTCCAGGTCATCCCACTTATTCTGCGGCTTGTTGGCGGCCAGAATGTTCAGGGACCAGCTGCACTCGTTCAAGTCGTGGCTGGTCTGGCTCAGGATCTGGTGGGAGTCTTCCACTCTCTGGAGCTCCCGCTTCATTTTGTTCTGCAGGAGGAGTTCAGAGAGGCAGGACGCGTTGGCGGCGGCTCCCTTGGCAAAGTGGAGGTAGTCTCTCACGGACACCTCCACCCTGTCCACGGAGGCGCGGATCTCGTTGACGTGGCGCTCCATGTATCCGTAACACCGCCAGTCCGTGGTCACCAGCGCCATGAGGCTGGACACGCCCATCTCCAGGCTCTGCTGGAGCCGGTGCAGCCGCTCGATGGCCGTGTCGGGATCCAGCAAGAGCCTTTTGTCCGGAGACGGGGAGGTCGACAAGGAGGACTCCTTGGAGGTGGTGGAAGATGTGGACATGTTGCTCCTGGTGCTGCCCGTGCTGGAGAAGGACAACCGGTTGATACCATCCACCACGTCCTGAGAGCCTTTGGTGTCCGGGGCATTGTGCAGAGGGACGTCGTAAACACCGTCTCTCTCTTCGGGGTTTGCTTTCTCACTGGTTTCTGCCGGCGGCTCCAGGAATTGAACCCCTCGGGGGACGTCGTAGGCATCGTTCTGGGCACCCAGGGACTGTCCCAGCTGTGAGGGCGGGTGGTTCAGCAAGATGTTTTGGGGTCTCCGTGTCGCCAGATCCGTGGTTCCTGGAGCATCAGAGCTGTATTTTACGTGAAGGTCCTTCCCCATCGGCTTGGTGCTGGTTGGGGGGATGTCGTAGACGCCCTCGGGTCTGACGTCTGGCCTCGCAGCTTGTCTCACTGGAGGGGGGAAATCATACTCTTTTTCCCTAAGCCCCGCCTCATCTCGGCAAGCAGAGGGTGGGATGGCATATACCTGAAAAGCAAGTGCAAAGGGAGCCATTATTTTTTCAGCTGGCTCATGCGAACGTGCAGAAGCTGAAAAGGACCTAAAAATGAGGCTACGATTCTCAGTCCTCATCTCTGGCTCCTGGCTTTCCACCTTCCACTCACTTCTGGCCTCTGTTTCCCAAGGCTCGGCTCTGCTCTCACTTCCCTCATCCTTGGACGGGAGCATCCTTCCCATGGCCTCAGCGCTGTCTGTGTGTGGACCCCTCCTCGCTGAGTTGCCCTCCTTGGGTCCCAGGCCCGAGTTTCTAACCACCTCCTGGGTCTCCTTCCTTGGCTGATCCAGGCATGGAGGCAGACCGTGCCCTCACACACAGGACGAGGCATCGGGAGACCCGAGGTCTCCCGGCTGTGACACGCTGAATAGTTGCTTCCATGTTCTGACACACAGTTCCCTTCTCTGCACAGTAGGCGTAACTGTGCTTCGGGGCAGGCATGCCACAGAGGACAAGAGAGGACGTCAGGTGCAGCAACCCCTAACTATGGACTGAGGATGTTGTAACGCTTCTCATAAATGCGAGATACATCCGTTGCTTGCCAGACTGAATTATTTTATCTTCTAACTGGCTCTCCTTATCAACTACCTCATTTTTAATGGAATGCCCTAACTATGGAACCCTTAGACTTTGAGATTTTTCTTTCCTTTCCCTTTTTTAAAAAAGTAATCTCTAGGCCCCACGGAGGACTTGAACTCACGACCTCGAGATCAAGCGTCGAATGTCTCCTGACTGAGCCAGCCAGGTGCCCCTGGAACCCTTAGGCTTATTGCCTTTGCCTATTGCCTTTCCATCTTCCCGTTCACTCTCACAAAGACTGGTTTCTCCCCTTTGGTTTGCCCTTCTTGTATTACCCCAAGAAACACACACACACACACCCCTTTTTTGCTGCTCTGTGGTAGCTCACTTACCCCTTTGGTAGGAGGGATGTCATAGATGCCTTGAGGTTTTATCTCTCCGATTGGAACTGAAAACATGGGGCCTTTCACTGATGATGGAGGGATATCGTACACCTGAAGAGAAACACTTGTGTTGCCCAGAACAGAAATGTCGCATACTGTCACTTCTTACGTTACTGAGCCTTTCACTAGGGACTAATTTGCCAGGTTATGTATACCCTTGCTCTGTGTCATAAAGGGATGGTAGAATTCTTTTTAGATTTCATGTTCTTCGACTTAGATTTGAGTATAAAAATGACCTGATGTGAAGTATCTACACTGTCTGGACTTGATTTATTTATTTTTAAAGATTTTAGTTAGTTATTTGGGGCAGAGAGAGAGAGAGAGAGAGCGAGCATGAGCGGGGTGGGGGAGAGGGCAGAGGGACAGGGAAGAGCAGACTCCCCGCTGAGCAGGGAGCCCCAAGGACCCACGGCTCAATCCCAGGACCTTGAGACCGTGACCTGAGTCACAGTCAGCCACTTCACGGAACCACCCAGGCGCCCCACTGTCTGTCTGCGCTTTAAACTATAGTTTAAAATTTTACATTTCCTGACCAAGAATGATAAGTGACAAAAGCTTTGTCAGATAAAGGCCTAGGATTTCCTGATTAAGCAAATCCAGAAAACGTAATTTAAATAGCATTGCTGGAAATGGCTTCTGTATAGCTAGCTTCAAGTGAAACATGCCTATGTGGTGAACTTCCCTTTGCTCGTAGCCCTGAAGGAACGCTCCCCCTGCCCCACCCGGGGTGCTGGTACATACCCCTTGCGTGGCGTGGGAAGGAGGGATGTCGTAGATGTCCTTTTGGTATCTGGCTGGGTACTCGTACACGTAGCCCTGGCCCGTCCTCACGGGGGTTATTACCTGTGGGCAGGAAGACACAGAGTGGTAAAATCCAAGCCCCAGCCTCCCAACCAGGCACTCCCCAGTCACCTCTCCCCCATAAGAAGAAAGAAAGAAAAATATGGAAGGGAAGAGAGAAAAGGAAGGGGACAAGGAGACATCAGGGCACAACACTTTTTTTTTTTTTTTTTTAAACAGCACAACACTTAAATCCCCTCTTGAATCCCAATAAAGGACAAATCCCTGAAATAGCTCCATCCCTCTTCCTCCTGATGACAAAACCATATCAAAGTTGGCCCAAGTTTCAATTCCCAGGATGCACCTTAAGGGAGAACCATTTTTAAATTAGGAAATTTTAAATTATGATCCTAGATCATCCCTTTGAAGCACCAAAACCACAGCATAATGAAAAAAAAAAAAACCACTTTTTTTTTTTAAAGGCTCTGAAACTATTTGTAAAGAGAATAATGCAAATAGAGACTTGAGCTACTTAAAATTCCTCTCATGCCTTCCCCAGGACGCCTCTTCATGTGACATTATTATTATTATAACTCAAATTCCATAGGTCACTAGAGGACTTTTATGAAGCCAACGGCTCAGCAGTGCCGCTCTCAGAAGCCTCCAGGAGCTTTCAGTCCAACCTTTGAAACAAATGACAGACCGAGTTGGGAGCCACTGGGAACAGAGTTCAGGTCTCGAATCATTTTCTCATTTCCACTGGGGGAGCAGACATCCCAGACAGTACCTACATCCAAGGGATGTGGGAAGTCAAACACACTCATCACAACTCTGGCATCTGGAAGCAATGCCAACATAAGGAACCTCACCCAGCAGGCTCGCATTTTCCCATCTACCATCCTTCCTCGTGTCCTAAGCACAGGCAGAGAACTCTCTTGAAGTGAAATTCACTGGAAATGTATTTAATTTGAAACTCATTTTGAAATGTATTTAATCCTCCAGGGGGCTACTAAATGACCAGTGTCTTGTGTCTGCCTAACCCCTGCTCCCCGCCGAATGACTAATAGCAGCCCCCCACTTAGTATTGCCCATCACTGTTTTAATTTTTTTAGGAGACTGAGCATTGTAAATGAGGCAGAGCTGGCTCTTCCTTAAGAAGCCGTCATCTTTTATCCTTTCCCTAATGTGAAAATTCTGGCGTCAGGCTGCCTACAAAACTATGTGAAAAATGCTCGCGTTCATCTTCTGCTGCAGTGGATGGAACACAGCCAAAGGCACCAATGCCCTCCTCCCCAGGGAGATCTAAGACGCTAACTAATGCCCTAGTGCCTGCGGCTCATTACTTCTTGCCATGGACGTAAAGGAGATTAGAACTGCAGTCACCATCCCATCAAATCTCTCCACTGCCTCGGGTTTAAGAAAAGGAATCTGTGGCTTTAAAAAGTCTGTTGGCATGTAGCATACAGAACCATTTGCAGAGTGGACACTGCACCGTGCCTAGCAAATCGTCCTTTTAAAAAGCTGCGTGCCCTTTGCTCAAGAAAGATGCGCTGTATTCCTCGTGCCCTTATATGATTTTTTTTTTTCACTCACTATTGTCCAGGAGAGAAGTGAAGAATCTTCTCTGAGTGTATCTCGTCAGCCCCTCTATTTATAGCTCTCTATTTTGGCTTTATAATAGAACCTGCACACAACACAGCTTTTGTGCGGTCTGAAAGCTCCTCAGAGTGGATTCTGTCCAAGGTTGCCAAGTTGGTAATAATGCTAATGGAAAACCAAGGCTGGTTATGCCGAAGGCCAGCTGAGTGGTTCCATCTTTAGTTTAAAGATGGGAAGGGGGTGCTGGGAGATAGAGGGGGCAGTGCCAGTATCTGAAAATAGTCCTTGGTGAGATGTAAACATATGGCAAGACCTCAGAAAGGCGGGGTCCTCGACAAGGCTCTTCCTTGCCTTTGTGGGACCTTCCCTGGCAGAGGGCATTAGTGCTTCCCGGTATTTAACTTCTCACTTCCTGACAAATGTCACAAAACCTCAACTCGCTCTCGCTCTCTCATTTGGAGGATGCCTGTGGTCATCTGGTTTTTAAAAACTTTGCATTCCAAGCCAGTCATTTTCCTTGTTTATGCGTTAAAAGAAACAGATGGAGAAAACCACAGGGGGAAAAAGCCAACAAAATACAGTCTCCCCGATTCCAGCATTCCCGATGGTACCATCGAATTCACGCTGGTCCACAAACAGCATTTAAAAGGGACCAGCATTTTGCCTCTGGTCAGACACAGCCAGGGCAGACTGCGATCCACTCTGTAACGTCTGAAGGCACGAGCAGCTGAAATCTTCTACTTTTGGACATTTTCCTCCTCAACCCGTCGCTTGGGTGACTTTCATGCCAATTGCGTGTTCTCTCCTCCGAGGAAAGTGCTGACTGTTCTGTACCTTACAGAGTATCCAGTTCTGTGGTCACAAGACCTTTTCTTCCTGCCTGACACAGTACACAAAAACCTTTCTACTGTCCCAAAATTACTGAACCTCAACCTCCAAGGAACACCACGGTCTAGCCAAGGGGATGTAAATTTCGGAAGCATTCTCCTGGGTGTTTGCGAGGCAAGGCATCGATGGCATTGCTGCACAGAGGGTATTTCAAATCTAATTTTCTCAATGAAACAAAGTCAGGTTTTTCATTTCCTTTTTTCCTCCCTTGGTTTTTCTTTTGTGTTTTCCTTTTTTTGTGTGTATTTATTTATAGTTACAAGGAACTCCCATATTGACCTCTTAGTTCATTAGAGTTGATGCAAATGAGGCTAGAAAGGGGGATTCTTGGGGCTCTCAGGACCAAGGGCTAAGGCAAATCCCCTTCCTGAGGACCCTGGCACAGGAAGTGCATTTTCCGGATACGGGATTTTCTGCCCCATGAGGAATCTGACTGGTCCTCAGGTTTAGTATACTCTTCTTATCAATTAACTAAAGAAACTGAAGGTGGACACTTGAGAAGAAGGCGGCCAGACATAGACATTTAGGAAAGAAAAAGTCCATTTAATAAATCTTCCCAGGGGCGGGGGTGGCATCCAAAGTCCAGAGAGTGGGGTTACATTAGCGCTCTAATTATGTGCTTGTCTAAAAACAAGCAAACACACACACACACGCACGTGCGCACGCACATGTGCACGCGCACCACCCCATCCCCTGCTCCAATGTGTTTGATTTTCATCATTTTCGGCGTCAGAGCCTGGGCACCAAGAGCTGCTTTTAGAGATGATTTAAATACCTCCAATGTCTCATAATTTTGAGAGCCGTGCATGCTGAAAATTTAAAGAAGTGTGGCAGTGGGGGGCCACGGGATCCCCCAGCAGCCAGCACATGTGAGCCAGTGAGCTAGAAGAGAGGCCCTTGGGCCGGGCCACTCACACCTCCCAGTCCTTGGCCTGGCTTTGCACCTGTAGCCCAGCGAGGGCCTGAGTCTTGGATGCCTGTGGGGCCCAGCAGATGAGGTGGAGGGAGAAACAAGCTGGGATTTCATGCTGGGGAGACAGAACCCACAACCTCCCGGAGGAAAGCAGCCATTCCTCAGCTCCAGCCAGCTGCCATCCCGAGAAAAGATGCCCCGTGTTGCTAAGTCTCTCAAATTTTCAGAAGAAGCCAGAAATCTGGATTTTTTTAACGTGAAATCTGATTTCCAGAATTGGCTCAAATATTTCAAATAGTGTCCTGGCCAAACTAAACGTGTCTCTGGCCCTCAGGGGGCCCGTCTTGCCTTCATGTATGTATTTCTGCCCCCCTCCCTCAATCCCTTGAAAGTCTCTGAGGCCAGGGCCCAGAAAGCTCTTTAGCAATTCCATTCGTGGGCAAGACTGAAGTCTACCATTTTATACCCATGCCCCGTGTGCCGCACGTCTATGCCTTCACTCACGCTGTATCTCTGTCCAAGATACTCTTCCTCCTGTCCTCAGATTCACATTTTATTCAACTTTCAAGGCCAGGCTGAGTGTCTCTCTCCCATGGGGCCTTTCCAGACAGAACACCTTTTTCTTGGAACGCCCCAAGCACATGATACGTCCGTCTCTAAGGGAACTAATCACTTGTGGTCTGTTTCGGTGCCTCCCATTTCTTCTCTGGGCATGGTGGAGATAGAGCCTGTTTCTTCTTCATTTGTAGATACACAGCAGGGCCCCGCACAGTGCCTTGACTGTAGTAAGGCTTGGATAAATGCACTGACTGAATATGTTAATGAACTAAAGGAAAACTTGAGGCTCTTCTTACACAAGATGGTGCGGAACTGGACAGGACAGGAAACAGACCTGCCCGTGTAGGACAAGGTTGGTGTCTAGGTGAGTTAGCTCTAGGATGAGTGGCACCCACGGGAGAAGGAGGGGAACGGGCTCTTCTCAGCCATGCATGGTAAGGTTGGGCAAGTGATGATGGCAAAAAAAGCAGAGCGAATTTTAGATAAAGTCAAGCAATCAGAAACCACGGAAGCATGATCACCTGTGCGACTGGTTGGCGTGAACCACTCGGAGGCCAAGAAGGGCTGCTAGCTGGTTTCCTTTCCCCCAGGCTCGAGTCTGCATGTGACTTGAGCATCTGCGTTCTTCTTAACCACCAGCTAGAAACGTACGGGGGAGTTTTGCAAAAAGAAATCAAAACAAACTCCGCCGTTTACCTCAGTATCAGAAGGAAAACACGACAGAAAGGAACGGGAGCTCTGACACGGGTCACGGGAAGCTGTGTATCAGAGGCCAAGGGCACACCAGGTCTTTAGCTCATGGAAAGGATTTGATCTGATGAGGGGAGGGACCGAGAACATAAGCCAGACTCAGGTCAGAGCCGACTCTACCACGTGTGAGAACATGACCAAGGCATCTGTCCATTCTAAGCCTGTTTCCTCATTAGTAGAATGGAAATAATAATACTTAGAGGCTATTAGTGTATTAATGAGATCAAGTACATAAAGAGCCTGGCATCCAGCAAACCCCTTAAGTCTTAGTTATTTCTATTATAATTGTCTATGATAATTCTACTATAATTGCTGGGTTATACAGCTTTACTTTTGGACTTAAGTTGTGGACCTG